CAGAGAGAGAAACAGAATCTCTGTTGCACCGATTCTGTTAGCAAGGAAGTATTTAATAAGGTACAAACCAACTTCCATAAATCTAGGTGAAAATAGGCTTGGCACTGGTAGCTGAATCTGGGCATTTATGTTGCACCTCTCACTATAATGTATTGGGCATGCTTTAAATCCTGAAATTGTCAATATTGCAAGACTGAGTGGGTGTGCTTTTCCCATCATGTTTTTATGTGTGGTAAAGTAATTAAATGGAACGCAGCAACTAGGGTGTCCAGACTATGGAACAAGCTCCCCCCAGAGGTGGTGCAATCATTTACCCTAGAGGTCTTCAAGAGAAGACTGGATGGTCACCTGGGTGGGGTTGTCTGACCCCAGATGTCTTTCCTGCTCATGCAGGGGCTGGACATGATGATCCTTTGGGGTCCCTTTCAGCTCTATGATTCTATCAAAATGATATTCCTAGCCTGACTTAGTTGAAAACAGAGTGAAGGCTTTTGTGTAATTGAAACTAACGTGCGTATTCTTCCCACTTCCCTGTAGAGTTTTATTAATCAAAATACAGGAAAAGAGGTAGAAGATGAAGATGCATCTAAATCATTCATGCAGAAACATGAACAAAAGATCAGACACTTTGGTAAGCATACTTTTTTCCCAATTTTTTGCAGTTTTTATTCCTCCTTTGGGTGTAGCTAGACTCTATTTTTCTTACAAAATGTGCAGCACCAATGATTAGCAGAGACCAGCATCTAGTTTCTCATATATCAGGGAGCTGGGATTTTATTTTTGATGCTTAAAATTAAAAACAGTCATTTTAAAGGAGAGGAAACTACATCCTTAGAAGTCTGGATTCCACCATGACTAAGTGTTTTTAATAAAATTCAGTGCTTGGCAGATCTGTTATTCTGCAATGAAGGGATGTAGCAATTTAACCTGCAGTTCTGTGGAAGTTGATATTAGACCAGTGACAAGCTAAGTTTCGATGGGTTGTTTTTTTTGAAGGGTAAACATTGGCTCCTTTGTTTATCGAAAGTGTATCTGTCCATGGGAATGACAGCTAAGTGACTAAATTTCTAACAGCTCAGATATTAAAAACTCTTGTAAACTTGTTCTGCTGCCTTGAGCGCAAAGCACCTTCAAGGCTGAGAGTTTCACCTTTGGGGAGAAAAGCAAAGAGAGACTAGGAGAAAATCACCACTGCTTTCAGAGAGCGTTGCGACTGTGGGATGGGGTGGGGGGGAGAGTCTTTCTTTCTTACCTGCTTATGCTGTTACTTTAGGCTTTCGTAAAACTTGTTGCAGAGTGAACAGTTCTTTTTTGTTTCACAATGTTGCTTGGAAAAGTGATAGCTGGTATTAGAGATGTTTGCCTTCTGGCACTGCATTGGCTTTGAATGCTGTAGAAACTGATTAATGATTCCTTTCTCATCTTGACCTGCACCCTCCTTTCCAAATGTGTCATGGGGGAATACTGTGTATTGGGTACTAACAGATGCATTTGTCAGATCCTGTCTATAAAAGTGCTTGGTATTATATGTGTACTGTGTGTGTGTACATGCGTGTCTTTCTTTGTTGCCTTTATGGCTTACATGGCAAAGACAGAACTTTAATAGATACAATGGTTTTACTAGAAGAAAAAGCTTTTAAATCAAGCTAACAGCTATTCATAGTAAGTGAGGCATGGAATGGTCTGTCCCAGCAGTGCCCAATCTTTCAGAGCTGTGGGCCAGATGAGTGATATGGGGGCTGGCACACAGTCCAGATCCAGTGCATGGGATTGGTCCCTGAGCCTGATCCAGTATGGGGTTGGCATGAGGATGCAATCTGAGCAGGGGAGCTCCAGACCTGCATACCCAGATTATGCCTCTCACCCCAGCTTGATCCAGTGCACACAACCATGTCATCAAGCTTTGGAATCTAGAAACATAGTAGCAATAATCACCAGGGCTCGGCTGCCACCCAACTTCTGGACCTGGACAGAACCCAGCAGGCCAGATGACATGGATCCACATGCCATGGAACACCATTACTGCGTATCCAAATACAGCAAACTATCCACTAGATGTCACTAATTCTACAGCTGAAACTTGATTTTAAATCCATCTGTGCTCCTTTTTTCCACGTGAATTGGTCTTTTATAGTTATGATAGGATTGCCAATTGTGTACTGTCTAATAGTATTGAAACTCAGTCACCTTCAACAGAAAATTCTGTAAATTGAATGGGTCTTTATTATTGCTCTTGTGTTCAGAAAACTTAAATCAAAACCTAATACAATGACCTTGGTAAAAATGAGAAATATTTAAAGCTAAAGTTAATTGTTCATTTCTATGTGAAACTGAAAGCCAAACTATGGAAAATATTCTGGAATTTCAGAGTTCTTTTTGTTTTTTCCATAGTATGGCATTTTAGTAATGGGATAAGGCCACCTCTCTCCACTCCTGGTTGCATAACTTCCGTGCAACCAGGAAAGCAACTGCTTATGTAGAAAAGTATTTAACAATTAATTCAGATTTTGCTGTCTTTCAGTGAAATATAACAGCTGAGAACATAGCCAGTCAGCATGATAATGGCTAGCTAAGTTTTCTACAGCCTGCAAGGAAGTGTTCCACAGGTGTCCAGTGGTTCAAGGTCTGCCTTTGAGATCTTTTGCACAAGATGATGATACAGGAACAGCCTTGTTGCAGCAGTGTGTCCACTGAGTCTTTATTTTACCTCCTTGAATACTGGCTGTGTAAATCTCTTGGCTTCCAGTTCTTGTTCAACTGAGTTTATGGTTATAAACTTATGTATCCAAATCAGTTACAAGATTCAGCTTCCACCTGCTGTCTTTGTACATATAACTAAAAATATTACCCCATCAGAAGACAGTTTTTAGTGTTCTCTCAGTTTAAATTAATTTGTTACATTGGCAGTTGAGCAACAGAGCTATTCTAGCTACTGAACAGACACAAAAGAGGCAGTGGAGACTTCAATCTATATGGCATCAGTCCTATTAAAGAACTCACTGACAAGCAAGAAGAGAGAGACGTCTTAAATGCACCTTTTGTCTGTGGCCTTTCTGCTGAAAAGTGCAAAAAATTGTATGTGACTTGCTGTTTTTGGAACAAGTTTGAAGCAGTTATGTCTGACCATTCAATAATTTACCAATTTGCTGTATTCACAAATATGATACAGAATGATGAAGCACTGCATCTCCTTACTGGACCCACAGCTTAAATGGACCTCATTACTATTCAAACCTCATAATTAAAACCTGTTTGTGTATTAATAAAAACAACCCCTTAGCCTCATGACCTGAATTTTGAGTAAATGCCTGCATACTTGCACATACTGTAGAGAATACATGCAAGGTTGTATTCCTTTCCTGTCCTTATCTTTCCCAATAATGCCTTCTCTTTCTTATTTGACTTTTTCCATTGGACTAATATTCCTTTGCAAAGATTAACTTTTTATATAACAAAAAAAATCCTCAACAAGCCACATATGTCAGTTTGTCCATTTTGTTTCATGCCTTACCTGCGAGCTCTGAAGGGCTTTTTTTGTAATAAGTAGTCTCAATTACTTGTAGTGTTTGTCTGATCATAGTGTCTGTAATGTTCTGGTAGTCTGCTCAAGTAAGAGTTGGAAAAGGCTGAATTAAATTTAATTTGCACTCTAGTTCTGAGATTGCAGTGAAGTGTCTAGAAATTTTTGTGCTAATATATACCAGTTGGAAGGTAGTTATGGTCTCTGCTACATTAATATATCTCTCAGCTCTGAAGAAGAAATTGTTCTTATACAAATGGCAGACAAGGTTCTTTGGGTAAATCTGTTATCTTTTATTAGACCAACTCAAATAGTTGGAAAAATTCTTCTTGCCAAGCTTTCAGGTATATGACACTTGATTTTTCTGATTCTTTTTTGCATTAGGCATGCTGAGCAGATGGGATGATAGTCAGAGATTTTTATCAGATCATCCATACCTTGTATGTGAAGAAACAGCTAGATATCTCATTTTATGGTGTTTTCATCTAGAAGCTGAACAGGTATTGGACAAATCTTAAATTTCTTGAGTCTGTATGAAAGTGCATTTTTTCCCACTTACAAGTTTTCCTACAGCAAGATGATTCAAGTTGATAAGCCATTTAATGTGACCTATTACTGCCCCACATTTCTAGTTACCTTGTTTATCAAAATCTTTCTTCATTACGATTTATTATCGATTCTTCTACTTTTCCAAGTGCCAGTTCTCATCTCTTCATGGTTCAGATGGAAAGTACTCATAAAACTGTAGCTGCACACTTGCCGAAAGTCTTTTTCAACTATGTAACTTCCTTGTTTCTAGAAAGGAGCTCTGATGGAGCAAGTAGCACACCAAGCAGTTGTGATGCAGTTCATCATAGAAATGGCCAAAAGTTGTAATGTGGATCCCAGAGGCTGTTTTCGTCTGTTTTTCCAGAGAGCCAAAGTAAGTTGTATTTTCTCTTCAAGGCTAAGAGACTCCCTAGGATTTTCCATATGGGATTCAAAAATAGCTGAGATTTTTCCTTAACAACCAAAAGCGAAATATGTGACTAGGTTATTGACTGCAGGCTAAGGGAAAAGATGGGTTGTTGACAGTAGTCTGTGTAATTCTAGACTTGGGAACAGAGGCCCAGTGGATTTTCTTATGCTCTTTGGACTGTCCAGCAGAGGGAACAGAATATATAGCAAATGTATATTTACTGTTATGTAATCCTATAATTAACTTTAATTCTTTTATATACAAATAATATAGGGTGAACATTATCTCCCACTTCTATTTACTGAAAGAAAAGAGTTACTGTAGAATCAATACTTCCTACTGGAAAAAAGGGAATTATATGGAGGAGAGAGAGATTTGACAGGCAATCTTCCTATTGTACTGTCTACAAAGGGAAGGAGATAATTTCAGGACTAGATTAATGTCTCAAGCTGCTGGGCTCTTCATGTGCCAGAAAAGCTGTTCGACATCTTGAGGAAAGCACACTGTATCTCTCCTCAGTAATCCTTTGAAGTCAACCAGGTGCAGCATTATCAGGGCCTGGATAGCTATATTCACAAGTAGCGGGGAAGCCCTGGATGAAGAGTGAAGATAACTGGATCTTTCCACAGTGGTTAGCCTATGGTCAGGGAAATACTACTCTGAGAGAGCTGCATGTACAGTGTGGTCAGTATCACTTTCAGTGATGCAATGCAGTTGGGGTATAGGGTAGGGGAGAGAAGGGCAACTCAAAATCAGGTTGTCACAGCTCCCTGTAACAAACAGTCTTCCTGTCTCAGACCAAAATATTTAAACTGTTATGAATATATAAATCCATCTGAATTCTTTGTAGCTAACGTATGACAAAGGTGCTATTAGTTTTGTCCCAAATATTTTCATCTAAAGAGGATGTTACATGAAATACTTTACTCATCTGTCCTTTGTTACATAACATTTTTCTTTTACAATGCACGCCTAGTAATTTTGGGGTCAAGTAAAATGTTGGCTATGAAACTGAGGGAATATTTAATAATATACAACTTTTTCTTTTCCAGGCAGGAGAAGAAGGCTATATTGAAGCTTTTAAAAATGAACTCGAAGCGTTCAAATCAAGAGTAAGAATCTGTTCCCAGTCGCACAGTTTTCAGGCTATGTCGGTACAGAATCCCAGTGTCTATGCTGGTCTTGGTTCTGTGGGAGGGTTAGAGTCTTTGCCACAGGTAGGTTTTTATTAAATAAATTTTGCTGTGACGAGATTCTGCCTCCTTTTATGTGAAGCATACTACCTTTGATTTTAAAAAGGACTGCATGAAGTAAAGAAAGCATTGTAAGTCCTTTGCTTGGGACAGGCTTTTAGCAGTTGTTAATTTTGGGACACTGTCTGGGGAGTTCATTTATTACATATTTATTTTAATATTTTATCTTTTTATAATTTATCTTGGGTTTTCTTATTGTAAACTATCCCAGCCTTTTATAGGGGGAATAAAATAAAGAAATAAAATAAGGCACCATTTGCTGGGAATAACAAAGTGTGCACGCTCTTATTTATATTTAAGGCAAGCTGTTGCTCAAAAAACACTCCATCTTGTAAACTTCAAATAGCAAAAAAGCACAAGGTCAAATTAATTCACTACCTATTAATTCAATCCTATCCAATTAAGTGCATATCTTCAACCTACTTTGAGTAATTTTCCACTTCAAATAGCTGGATAAATTGCATTATGTAACTAGTATACATTCATAAACTAATCATACTACCCTCTCACATGGTTCTTTTTGTTGTTGTGTTTAAATGTATAATTTGGGAATTCTGCATTATGAGAGGTGAAATGAGCTCCCAGGTAAAAAAAATAAAAAAAAATGTCTATGGCTTCATCAGTAGAAGCCTACACTCAAAGATAGTTGAGTCTGTAGTAAAAGGACAGCACAATATCCTAATGCAGGGGTCAGCAATCTGGGCCACAGAGCTATTTGATCCAGCCTGTGGATGTGGGGCTTCAGCAGCAGTCACTTCTCCCTGTGCTCCTCTCCCCATACTATCTGTTCTCCTTTGACCTGAACACAGTCTGTCTGTCTCACACCCTTAAACTTGCCAACTGCTGCCCTAATGAAATACAGGGACTTCAGTACAGGCAACCTCTGTCTCAGGCTTACAAAGTATGGTTTTAAATGGGAGGGTAGGAAATGGTTACTTTTTTAAGTTGTGTCTAAGGAACAGGTCAAATTAAATCTTGGGCTTGAAATAATTTTGATCAAGGTACTTAATTTACTATATTTGTTTTCTGAGTGCAAGGTAACTTAGTACACAGATATTTTTATTGCAGTTCCTAGCCTCCTCCGTAACTAAATAAAAGCCTTATATATAAATTATGTGACTTCTTGAATTTCAAACCTGGGTGGTGCATTTTAAGCTGTTTTCTTACCATTTGTACTAGTTACGCACACATTTTTGTATCGCCATTAAAACTTTGCCTATTAATTGCAAAATGCAAACAATGAAAAGGAATTAAACAGTTATCAAAAGGTACAGAATTAGGATCTCAAAATGTATACTTGTTTAGAAGTATTTTCTCAATGTTTATTTTCTTTATCTGTTGCAGAATGCAGGCACTCTACAAGGTTGCATAAACATGGGTCTCTGCAGTTTAAACTCAGTGGTACAGAAAGATGATGAAGAATCCAAAATGATGGACACAGTATAGTATTGTTAAGACTGAGGCCAAGTACTCTTTTTATTATAAAAGAAAGAACATGGCTATTTTCTTGATACTTATTTTTATGGGTGCTGCACTTTATTTTTGGCATTTGTTTTTTGGAGGGAGGGTAATTTAGAAACACATGTAATTTTGTTTGAAAACGTGCTGCTAGGTCTTCAGTTGTCTTTTTAAAAAGAAGGGTTCCTTGTATATTGCCGAATGTGAAACTGGATGTGTTTTCTGCTACTAAACTTGCCTTTATCCTTAATTTTAGGAATCAAAGTATGACAGACAAATCTGCACAAATCCAATGTTTACAAGAAGTGGTTGATTCTTGGTGGAATCTGCTATAGTCTAGTCTTTTATTATAGACAGGGCCATGTCTCACTCTATGAATACTAGAGATCACAGTTGTACTCATACTATACTGCTGACATAGTAAGCTCTCAAATCTGGTTTTATTATATTAATAGCAATAAATCAATATCTGGTATCCACAACACAGATCTGGGTGGCTGAGATTAAAATATTGACTTTTTATTCCTACAGTGAATAACATTTTACCTCTTGCTTTCAGTCAAAATAACTTATTTCTGATTGTATCTAAAGCATAAGTAGCCTGACACAAATCTAATTCACTGCTTAGAATTGAGCCTGGACTGGCATTTCCAGTGGTACTGAGAAGCTATCTCTTACATGGGCTGTCAATTTTTTTAAAAAATGAGGTTTTTAGTGACAGAGTGAATAGAGAGAAACTTAAGGTATTTTGATTAGGGTGAGATCCAAGGTTCCCTCTAATGTGCACGGCTGTGCACGACTAAAACTGTGACTGCGCACAGGCTTTTCAAGGCTGCGCACCAGGAGATGCTCGGGTAGGAGCCCGGCGTGGGCTCCGCCGGCTCCAAGGAAGTGCTCCACTCCCCCACATCAGGGCTGGGGAGTGGAGCACTTCCCCGGAGCTGGCAGAGCCCGCGCCAGCCCCCTGCCCCATCCCTCACCTCAGGGAGGAGCCGCTGCCTGCCCTAGTGAGGCTCTGCTGGCTCTGGGACACTGCTTCGTTCGCCCACGTGGCCTTGGGGAGCAAGGAGGCACGTGGTGTCAGGGCCAGGGAGCGGAGTAGTGTCCTAGAGCCAGCGGAGCCTCACTGGGGCACGCAGCAGCTCCTCCCTGAGGTGAGGCAAGGCTGGGGTGGGCGGCTGGCATGGGCTCCTCTGGCTCCAGGGAAGTGCTCCACTCCCTGGCCCTGATGCAAGGGAGCGGAGCACTTCACCGGAGCCAGGGAGCCCACACCAGGCTCCACCCCCAGAGCCAGGGAGCCCGTGCCAGGCTCCACCTCCAGCCCCTGGTTCCCAGCTCTGGCCCCAGCCCCCGGCTCCGGCCCCGGCCCCTAGTCCCAGCTCCCGGCTCCGACCTCCAGCCCCATTCAGACAGTGTCCCACACCGGACCAAGGCAGCGTGCTCACGGACCGCTGCTCCTTAGAGGGAACACTGGTGAGATCCACCACAGCCTGACTCTTAGCTTTCTCCCAGGAATGAAGAAACTCAGGTGCCAAACACTGACTGAAGACAGTTGATTTTGGCAGCCTATGGGTCTGTTACTTTAATAAACTCGGGGGAAAAAAGTGAGTTTTAATTTAGTAACAGCTGTGAGATTTCAAAGGGTCAACTGAAGAGGTCTAAGAACGGTGAGAGGGGAATTTCCAGATCCCTTTTAGGGTTCTGCACAGGTCAAACTTTTACTATTTCCAGAACTATATTCCCAAGAATGCCTTTGTTTTTGCAACCTAGTGCTGTTACTAAGCTTTTCCGACTTTTACCTTTGCAGGTAGAAGCGGCTGTATTGAAAATGTTATCTTTTACATCTGGGTTGTTCCAGTGTGGTTTAGGTCTCCCTGATTTCTCATAGTAACAGGGAGTCACCTAGCGCCTGTTGCATCACTGTCTCACAGTGAAATGGCTAACTTATATACACACTTGCAGCAGGTACAGCTTTCTTAACCCCTTCATTCTCAGGTGGTACAAAGGATTTGGAAATCGGCCTGAGGAATATCCTAAATAGTATGGAGCAGGCAAAACCCATTCCTGTATAATCGCCATGTAGCCACTGGTGCAGGGAACAAGTTAAAAGAATTTCTGTAGCCAGTCTTGTTCAGCAAGTACATGCAGTAATGTTCTTTAGAGTAATTCCCAGTCTGTAAAATACACAGCTGCCAGTACTAGTTCAAAACTGGCCCAAGAATCGGAGCTGTAGCCCTTCTCCCCTTCACATCTGGTGCATTCTGGTAGGGGTAACCTTATTTTCTCATGAAAGAGAATGAGTTTTTTTCTTTAAATACTAAAGCAGCATTATGGTAGGGAAATTACAGGTTAGGCCTTGGACAGGACAGATGTGAAGTGCTTGGAACACTAAGCAAACAGATATGCATGGCTGAAGAAGCAGTTCAAAAATATTACTCATAAAATGAGCTTTTCCTTTTGAAGTGCTCCCTGAAACATTGGCATGCCCCCTAGAGCAAGGGTGAGGGGGGTGCTTGATTCTCTGTCAACCCCTCCCCCATCTCCAAATGTGGATGGGGAGAGCAGGGCAGACAGCCAGTGAGCACTCTTATGCACTTGGCAGTCTTCACTAGCCTAGAGCCATGCAAAGAATCCTCTCCAGGCCCCTGACTGGAGAGAAGGCTTGCTTGCATGCCCCTTGGGCTAAGGGGTCTACTGAGGACATCCTAGTGCACAAGAGAGCGTTCATTGGCTGTCTGCCCTATTCTTGCCCTTCCTTATGGGGGTGCGGGGACTAGAGCACTGGGACATGCCAGACGACAAAGTACCCTCCTGTTCATAGATTCATAGATTGGAAGGGACCTTGCAAGATTGTTAGGTCCAGCCCCCCTGCACTAGGCAGGAAAGACAACTGGGGTCAGGTGACCCCAGCATGATGACCATCCAGTCTCCTCTTGAAGAGTTCTAGGGTAGGTGATTGCACCACCTCTGGAGGGAGCCTATTCCACAGTCTGGACATGCTAGCTGTGAAGAAGTTTTTCCTAGTGTTAAGCCTGAAACAGTCTTCCAGGAGTCTGGTCATTACTCTTGGTTTTCCGCAAGGGTGCCTTGGTTAACAGTTGTTAGCCAAGCCCCTGATGTAGCAGTAAGGTGCTACCAAGTCCCTTCCCAGCCTTCTCTTTTTTAAGGCTGAAAAGTCCCAGGTCCCTCAGCCTTTCCTCATATGGCTTGCCATGCAAGGCTCTGATTATACAGGTGGCTCTTCTTTGGATTTTCTCAAACTTTACCACGTCCTTGTTGAAGTGCGGCACCCAGAACCAGATGCAGTACTCCAGCTGTGGTCTCACCAATGCTGAGTAAAGTGGAAGAATCACTTTCTTGGTTTTGCTTGAAGTGCACCAATTGATGCATGCCAGAGTATTATTTGCCGTGCTGGCTATAGCTTTGCACTGACAGCTCATATTCATACTGTGGTCTGTTATTACCCCTAGGTCCCTTTCAGTCATGGTGGTAGTCAGTCTGGCGCTGCCAAGCCTATAGGTATGTTGGGGATTGTTTGTCCCCAGGTGAAGCACTTAATGTTTCTCAACATTGAACTTCATCTGATTCTGATCTGCCCAACTTGCTAGCCTGTCTAGTTCCGCCTATATCTGCAGCCCATCTTCAAGTGTGACCATGCTCCCCCATAACTTGGTGTTGTCCAATAACCTGGCCAGTGAGCTCTTCACTCCCACATCCAAATCATTGATAAAGATGTTAAAAAGAACTGGTTCAAGCATTGATCCCTGGCCACTTCTTGCCAGGATGCCACAGAACCGTTCATTAGAACTCTCTGGATCCTACCCCGCAGCCAGCTTCCTACCCACCTGTGATGCAGTTAAGCCCACAATCCTCCCATCTAGTTGCCCTAGATGGAGAGTACTATTGCTGCAAGCCATTCTTTGATGTTCAGCAGTGATATTGCCAAGATACAGAATGTAACTTCACAGCCTGGTTTCAAGTCTCTAGGACACCAGTCTGAAACACCTGTGATCACTTTAGCAATCCTTAGCATAGCGATTCTCAAACACAATGCCATCAGATGCTTTGAAAGGTGTTGTGATAAGATAAGCACAGGCTCAGGCTTGCACCTGCCTGGACAATTCTCCATCCCTACTTCCTAACCTCTCTGCAAGGAAGTAAGCACTAATATACACACTAGTTTTTGAAATTGGGTGCCATTCAATTCACAAAAATTATGGAGGGGTGGCCTTGAATCCAAAAAGGTTGAGAATCACTGCCTTTGTGGAAAGAAGTCAAGGATTAGTCAAAAGCGCTAGCAGTTGGTGGTCAACTACAGCTTCTGGCGGTAAAAGCTGTGTGAGATCTATAAACTTTTCTGGGAATGGGCCAGAAATGCTGAGGTCAAATCAAAGCACTGAACAAATCAAGGTTTTATGTAGGAATGTTCCAGCAACTGCATGAAGGAAGCTGATCTCTAAACAGTTCAACTCTAGATTCCATATGGTGCATGTTTGGATGCAAGTCTACACACTTTTTTTTTTTTCTTGTCAAGGTCCTTTTTTAGAAACTTAATTTAAACCATGGCTGTACAATGTCTTGACAGCCCAGGGTCACAGAGGCCACAGACTGTGGGGGCTATGCTTCGTGTAGGCAGCTCGCCATGTGGGCCGCTATCCCCCTGCTGCATTCTGGGAGGTCAGTCCAGATCCCTCTACTGCTGCATACCTGGTATGAGCAGCCTGGCCCTGTCCCCTGCTGAGAGCCTTATGTTGCTCTGACTGCGATCTCCTGCTGCGTTAACCAGGTGCAGAGGAAGGAAGCAGAAGCTGGGAAGGAAGTTGGGCGGGGCGGGGGGGACTAGAGATCACAGTCACTGATACAGTAAGTGTGTTGGGGGAAACAGTAGCTGGGTAGGAAGCTGTGGGACACACTAACCCCTCATGGGCCACCAATTGGACACCCCTGTTTTAAACAGTAGCTACTCTCAGTAGCCTTACCTTGACAAGAAATGGAAAGCTTTCCAAATTCAACAGTGGACATTTTAGAATGTGTGCCAGGACTGAAAGGTGGTAACAGCAAATCCTGCTATGTGATATATGCAACTACAGCTCCTGGGGATGCAGGAGCAGGAAAGACTTGCTTGTAGTTGCTGCAAGAGAGAAGAGCCAAAGACCTCAGTCATAGAATGGTCTCCAGCCAACTACTCCATCCATAGAGCTGAACCATCTGGATTGACTGTTGAATTGATGCCTGTGCCAGCTTTTACTGACTACTTCAAAGAGTGAGGGAGAGATGAATTCAGGATCTTGTGATGCTGAAAAAATGGTCAGGTGAGTTCTTTGAGAAGAGTACCAGTGGTTAGAATATCTGGATCCCTCTGGAATTTGAGCTGTTGACCATTTCTATCAGTCTAGTCTGATATGAGAAGAAGACTGATTCTGGTTAATAAAAATGGCAAATTGTATAATGCACGTTTCTCTACCAACTATTCTTGGGTATGACTGATCTGTAAACTCAGTAGTAACGGTGGGGATTAAAGTTGCATTCTGCTGCACCAACTGTACCTTACTGTGGCTCTTCTTGTTTTAGGTCCTTGGCATTCTGATAATGTTATAACCTAGTAGAATAATAGTGATGTGAGAGAGGGCAGATTTGTAATGTCAGACATGGATAAATAAAATTTTACCCAAAGTACTTTGCACTAAAAACAGCTACTTTACTAGGACAGTCTAAAAAACACACTTGTCAAGACTCTTCCATTCCCCCACAACTCTGACACAGGATATCATTTGTTGTAACAAAACACAATTTTATTGTGTGACAATTTTAACGTCTTCAAACTTACTGCTTGGATGCTTAGGCCAAGTACAGACATCACACTTTTACCAGTATAAGTGATTGGAAACCAGTCTATAGCTGTAACAAAACAGAAGTTTGGCATACGTGGACCAGTTTAAAAATGGCAGAACCAGGTCTGATTTGCCCCCCACCACAGAGTGAATAAGTGTTCTGTTCAGTATTGATCTGAACTATGCTGCTTACAGAAAACCACATAACTTAGACTGATTCCACCTTGGGCTTTTTGAATGTCTGTACCTAGCATCAGTGTCAAGATTTGTGGCGGTTTTTCCCCCCAAGTTGCTTTTTATGAATTTAAGAAAAAGAAGGAAGATGAGTCCTTTTTCTTGTCTAATTCTTAGTGCTGTGCTTAGTTAGTGTCCTGACCAGCAGGGCTTTATTATGTGGAATAGGAAGCTATTTTATGGAAGAGGTTCAGATTTTGCTCGTACTTCTCAAGATGCATATTGTCAATTGGATCCCTTTGCTTATAGTTGTAGAAACTCAAATCCTCCCCTCCAAATTAATTCTGCATTTGTATTCCTCATCCCTGCACCCTGACCCTCAACTACTTTAACAGTTTATAGCTATAGTATTGAACTTGTCTGTCCTTGCAATTCAGTCTTATAGGAACTCTCTTGCACTTGTCCATTTGACAAGGAGGGAGCTAAAGCCTTCTGGGGGAACTCTCTTAATTACTGTAAGCTGTGAATGAAGCCAAGGTTCCATTGGTCTCTGTCTTCTGCTTTCTTGATTTACAAATTCATGACTAATAAAATTGGCTGACTTGCTGTCCAGTGTAGTTCCTAAACCCCATCTTTAAGTAATACAGCTATCAAGGTTTTTCCCCTCTTAATTGTAAGATGTTAAGAGAGACTGAGTTGTGTTGCTTTCTAAATGGACTTTTGGCAATGTAGCCCAGAGTGGCTATGAACACTGTGGCTGTACAAGCAACTGAGGTATAGACTCCTCACCCATCATCATAAACTTATTTCTTCCCATTAACTACAAAAGTTAGGCTAAGGAAGCAGAAAAGTGCAATTCTGTATCAGTAGGAGCACCTTCTAATATTTGGAGATGTCATTAATAAGTGGCTTCCATCTTGTATTGATCCAGTTCAGAGGAGGGGCATTCAATTATTTGATAAATCTCAGCCATTTCTTGAACAGAAGCCACCAACTACAGTATATAAAACTGTTCACTTATATTTGCTGAAAGTTTATTGGTAGACAGCAACGGTTGATTCCTATGACATCGTGTCACTTGAACACATCTACTCTTAATAACTGTATTTTATACAAAGATATGAGAAGTCCGTTGTTTTTCTTTAAATCATGATTACTATTTTACAAAATTAGGTACATTTGATATAAAAGTACATCATTAAAATGAGAATACAAAGGTAAGTGCAAAAAAGTATTACACAAAAATGAGAATGATGGATTAGATCTTACTTATTGATCAATTTGGAACATCACTTAGCAGAAATGAGAAAACATCATCTTTGTAAACTTTTACTACTGTAGAGGGAATTGCTCCTAAAATGTGTGCGACAGCAGCTATCTTCTTATCGTCAAAAGATTAAACCAACTTCATCTCTGCATAGCAGCTTCATTCTGGCTCACATCTGGCAACTTGGTTTGGAGAAAAGCATGGACATGTGGCCAGATTTTGTTGGTTTCTGTTCCAGAGAAAGATTTCAAAACACCTTTTTTCCTACAGAGAAGAAGCAGCAAGCCTGTCATCAGTCCGCGATGTTTAACATTGCTACCTCAGAGTACAAAGATAAGTTCAAAGGTTGCCCTGGTAGAGGTGTAGTAGTACTAATGTCTTCTCAGTATGCAGAAGGGCTTGGTTGCAAGAAAACTTTTTAAACCTTACAGCTATAAGAATTAAGTACGTTTTGTTTGAGTGGTACAAAGAGAATGATCATAGTGGCCATTTTGGTCCAGTCTTCTCTACAGGTCAAAAAACACTGAGGGAAGGTAGTATTGGACCAGGAAGGACATAGATTAAAGAAAAGGAATGAAGGAAGAGATGACGCTAAAGAAGGCAGGTAATATATTAAGACTGTTGTTCCACAAGCGCAACAATAATTTAAAATCCTCCTTTACGATTACATAAAGTCGAACAGTACAAGTTATTATGCATGATCAGATGCACATTTGTGCGCACAAGTGAAAAAATAAGCATCAATTTGGAGTAGATGAGCTGTCAAAAGTTTAATAGCCACACTTATATCTAGAGTATATTTAATCATGACAGTATAGCTACACATTCTGCAATGAGATCCAAAGAGACAGATGGCCTGGGCCTACAGCGTGGTTTACTGAAGTTAATAAAAGTCACTGCGGTCCCAAATTGCCTTCTCTTCAACCCCACTCACCTTGGAAGACTCTCTCCCCCTTATACAAAGCATGCAGGGAATGCTTGTAAGAGTATTTCTGTATGATCTCCTACATCCATAAACTGGGAATGTTTCTGGCCATAGTTCTAATGTGACAAAATGTCAATTTAGTAATGGGCAAGTGTCCCTCAACTGACCTGGTAATCCATCACCATGCTAACATTATTTAGAAGCTTGTCTACCTGCCAGACCATCTCAGCCTAAAGGGATAGACTTGGAATCAAAAAACAGCTTTTCCAAGCCTGGATTACTACTCTCTCCATGATGCTCTCTACAGTATAGCAGACCATTTTCTTAATGAGTACCAGCTATACAAACACATTACAATGCTGTTTTTAAGTGTTCCTCCAAATATCAAATCCTGGTGTTAGTTACAGAGTTGTTCTGCTTGCTCTTACATCACTTCCAGGCATTGGCATCTAATCCTCTGATAGAACTTTCTGCTACCAGATCCCATGGAAGACATTTGATACAATTAAAGTTTCTGGAAGAAATGACTAATGAAAGAGCTCCACAGCTGTGGGAACTGCCATTGCTTTAATATGTTGAGTATTCCAATTCTGAAATGATAAAACTTCCTCTTGACTGCAGTAAAGAATCCTACACAAAAGAAACATGCTTCTTGTTCATCTAGTCGTAGGGATGTACCCATAATGACAGCATATACCATTACAGATTTAACTAATATTTAGTTTGGCAGGTAGATGAAAGACTCCATTTGCTACAAGAGAAACACAAGTTATTCCTTGCCATTTTAATGTGGAAATAAATGTTTCAATTATTTATTCCTTACCGATAATAATCCAGAACTGGCTTTGTTTGTGCCTCATAAGACTGCAGTCTCTTGGTAACTGTCTCTGGCTTATCATCATCACGCTGTGCAAGTGGCTCTCCAGTAACATCATCAGTACCCTAATTGTGGGTTAAAACAAACACCAGTTTATAACTCTATTTAAGTAGCCTTTGTATTATTTTGTTTTTAGTCCAACAAAAATAAGATTTCAACTTAGCAAGATCACTAACCATATCTTATCAGTAGCAATGAAGTGTACTTTCAAGCAGTACAGTTCAGCAATTTAAAAGTGTACCTCTTCACAGCCTCAGACATTAACTGCATGCAGCATAACTCAATGGAGTGTCCACTGAGTTATGGAACTAGAGCCTGGCTGGCTGGAGCCATATTCCAGGTGTCAGCCAGGCTCACTGCAGCCCCCAAAGGTCCCCAGTAAGGCTTCTGGAGCCACACTTCAGATACCAGCCCTGAAGCAACATGTCACACACCAGAGCATGCATTCATGGATGGTTTCAGGGGACAAATAGCAGCAGGACATATTGTGCCACTGCTGTTTATCCCCAGGAAAATGAACGTTCCTGCTCACAGGGACATGCCCAATGAAGTTATAACTACTACTCCTTGGATTTTATTCACTAAAACTCCATGTATGGAGAATGGCTGTCTGGAATGTTGTTTCAACAGGGCCACACGCAACTCATAAAAGGCTGATATGATCTATGGCCTCTAGAAAAATTAAGGTGATGAGCTGAATAACCATTTTGTTGCTGTGGAAGAGAAATTATAATTACTGTACAGCAGACAGCTTGAAAGCCACAGATCAGCATCTAAAAGGAGCAAACAAAGCTTGAGCCATCACATGGCAACTACAGCAGTGTTTTCTCTTAAACTACATTTTCAGTTTATCATAGGCACTTCAAGCTTTAATATAGAGTGCAAGGTATTTGAAACAAGGGCCTAAGGAAAGAATTTCTGCTAGCCAAAGTGGGAATCATTACAGCTTAATCCAGCCATGTTTGCAGGGCCAAATTTTGTCCTTGCTTACATGCATACAATTTATTGAAGTCATCTGTGTACAAATTAAAGGACAGAAGTTAGTCCACAGTGCCCTTGTGGAAAGGATTCCTTATGCTTCCATATTTATGAAGATGTGAAAAAAATCCATTTGACATAGACTTCATTTTTAAAAAAAGGCATTAAGCAATGTGAGCTGAAATTAATTTTGGGTATAAGAATCTTTTTAAGGTAATGCAGTGATAGCTAAACATAGCTTCTCTGTTACTGGCATTACTGCAAAGCTTGGGTTTTGTAATATGCATTATGTATTCAAATCACTCATTTTCATGTCAACTGACATGGCTCTATAATTTTTCTTGAAGGTAAGGAGTTTAAAACTTATTTGCAAAACCTACAGAACCAAAACTGTTGCATCACATAAATCCACAAGAGTCTCATACATGTATTCAAAACTGTTGCAAATCAGGGCAAATTAGTTTCAGGTATGGTGAATTTCTACTTAATTATGCAAAAGAATGGGTTCCAAAGTGAGTTTGACAAATCAAAGTCAGTGCTCTGTTGTGTTCCTCTCTTAGATCAGCCAGACTCCCTGCAAGTAGTCATGAGTGAAGTATCAAATGTTTAACCACGTAGAGGCAGAGTTTCCTCACACTATCAATGTTTTCATTCAATTTCAATATACTAATGTGAGGAGGGAGGGGTTTGGTTCTCAACTAGGTCTTTTCCTCTAAAAGACTGAAATCCTAAAGCTTACTGCAAGTGAAACCCTTTCAAGCAAACAAAAAAAGAAAGAAAAAAAACCCAAAAAACCCCTCTCTCCAACAGCATAAGTAAGTGAAAAAAGCCTGCTTCTGATTCTCCTGTAACTACACTTCTCCCTGTAACAAATAACTCAAGATAAAGTTAGGAGAGGGATGAGGATGAAACACAGCCCAGGCTTTGTTGCTTTTACTTGTGCAAATTCATTACAAAGTTCTCAACAAATAGCTGGGAAAGGAAAATGTACAGCTTGCAGAATGCTTCATTAGTTCAGATCTACCTTTTTAATCCCCACAGCACAACTATGAACCTGAGATGTTAATTATGCCAATGTGAGAGAAAACAACATTTAATTAGAAAAACAGTTTGCTGCAGAATATCAGTATGTGTTTTAAACACCCACACCCTTTTAAGTGTTAATATTTCAGGAAAAGGGCTAAGTGTGCTGCTCTGACTCCCTGCATCTATTAACTCACTGATTCACCTAAATAAGAAGGGTCCCTTGGAAAAGAAAGGTTTCATAATGTGGGCAGAATAGACCTCAGAGAGACACTATGGGACCAGCCAAGATAGGAAGGTCTGAGATTATGGTAGTTATTTTTGTTTTTAACACCACTTCCATTTTCTGGGATTTCCTTTTTAGATTTTACAAATTGTAGGAGCTGTCATTTGTAGAACAGATTAGTTATATTTTCATGTATCAGGTCAATTCTAGGACGCTGAAATCTTCTAAAGTCTGATAGCAATATTTTATTAAATAGCTGCTAGGGTCTAGAAGAGATTGGTGCAGTTTCCTCCCTCTCCCCCCCGCAGCTGAGGAGGATATCTTCCGCGGAACATTGCTGGTTCTAATCACAGAGAGGCAGTGAAAGTACTCAAGTCATTCCCAACACAGATATGTCATCCTAGTGGAGAGGAACTGTTAGCAGAAAGGTTCTGGGCTCTTGCAAAACAAGATGACTTACTTATCCCAAGCAGAAACACAGTGCAGTTTATCTACTGCAACAAAAAAGACCTGCATCACTTACATGGATTTTCGGAGGATTGAATTCGAGGTTGTAGACTCTACCGCTAGTAGGATGGATCCATCGTGCAGTGAGTCGTTGTTTAATCGTCTCAAATGGAACATCTAGATCAATCACAGTGTCTATCCGACATGTCTTATCCAGAGCTTCTGCCTGTGGGACCGTTCTAGGAAAGCCTGATTAAATAAATAAATAAATAAGCAAGCCAGTAAAAATCCAAAGGCAGACTTAAATTACAAAATGTGAGTAAACTGGATTCAAGAGAAAATGCCAGCCAGACAATCTAAAATGTAAACCACATAAGTGATAGGTATAATATACTATGTGGGAGAGGAGACTTCAAGTTTTCCCCTGGCCAGTGCCATTCCCCTCCCTTCCTTTTTCCTGGTCTCGCTTGTTCATTGTTCTGAAAGCAGAGTGAAGGTCCTGAAATGCCATCATTTCCTTTTTCATATACATGAAAAAGAATATCTTACCAGCTTGTGCTTAAAAACATTTGTTATAAAACGGATTTACTGCCAGGGTATTGCAAAAGCAAGATAGTGCAAGTAGGTAACTCAGAAGCCATAATGGGTACATTCACTCTTGGGTATCTCCAAAGTTACTGAAGATATTCAAAGAATGAATTCACCTTAAAGAAAATTATAGGCATTACCTTAAAACTATCCTGCATCTTAAATTCGATTTGACAATGTCAACAGAAACACTTAGCCTATATAAGGCCTGTGTTGTCACACCCAAAACAGCAAACTAAAAACATGCTGAATTTTATGCTCTCAACCATATTTGTGAACATAGGCAGATAACTTTGATTTCTAAACTAATCTAAGTAACATCTTTGTAACTGAGTAAGCCTGGTGCACTTCGAAAGGAAAAAGAGAGCAAATGAGCCAAGCTATTCTCACAGCAAGTTCAGCATCTGCTTCTAAGAGTTTAGCTACACGGGAAAACCAAATCAGAATAGCTATTGAACTCTTCCCTTGACAGATATGTTAGAATAATTTCTGCTCACGAACAGAGAATTAGTTTGTAATAATCTGTTATTCCACTATAACTATGCCAGCAAATCTCCCTGTAAAGATAAGCCCTGTGGGCAAAAACTAAAGGAAGCTCTTTTTTGCTTACCTTCTGAAGTGGTAATGATCAGTGACCACACTACCAGCAGAATAAGGGGAATTCATTAGCCAAATGACCCTTATAGCAAAGCACACTGGTAAAAAAGACTTGGGGAGGCCTTACATGTATTATGTTATTTTAATCACATGCCCACAAAGGGAAAGCTGATTCACTTAAGAGTGTCAGCGTGCATGCACAATGCATATGTTACAATCCTAGAGGCTGGTTTAAATAACAGTTGTTTACTGCCAAAAAGGGAATGACAAATCCCAAAGAAGTTGTCTAAACAGAGCAAGAACCAGGGCTCCCAGCTCTGCTATTGACTCACTTTGTGGCTTTGCGTCGAATATACAGCAACCTTGTGCTTCCATATATTCAACTGGAAAAAGGAGGTGCTATTTGAAATGTCACTATTAAAGAACTCTGATACAAGTGGAAAAAGTATGCAACAACATATTATTGAAAACACGGTTTATCTGCTGTTGCATGCAGTACTTTTCCATTCACTTCCAGAGTCTGCACATGCTTCTTTACTTCAGCATATGTTTTTTTTTTAAATCAAGCGTACCACACCTGTGCAAAAAGAAGTTGTGCTCCAAGAGGATCATTTCTCTCCCTCTCCATCATGGAAGCTAGAGCTGTAGTGGTTCAGTAAGGCCAGTAAACTATTTTCAGTCAGTGGAAAGTTATACTTTGCTCCATCAGCATTAGAGCAGATTAAAAAGTAACTCAGTTTAGTCTGAACTACATCACACTATGATGAATTACAGTTACAGAACTGGGGTTTCTCAGACTATTATTTATAGAGTATGATAAGCATGTTCAGCACTCACATGCTTAGTGGATCCCTACTGAGCTCAGCCAGGGTGACCACACTAAAAGCCCTGCCCCAAAGAGCTCATTTATCTAGGTAGAGGGTGGGAGACAGCTTGAAGCAAAAATATGGATCCACTGCCTCATTCATTGCATACCATCCTTCTGTCCAGTGAGAGCCCAGCACGTTTCAGCTATTTCACTGGATGCTTTGATACATGCAGTTGCAATCATGCACAGAATGTGTCCAGAAATTAGATGCAAAGTCCTTCTAATCAATTAGGTCTCCTTACCCCATTTCATAAGGATAAACCCATGTATTGATCAAGGGAGGGATCCAGCAGGAAAAGCAAAAATACAAGGCAATATGTGATCACATGATTATAAAATATTGTAATGTATATGCACAATGGAAAGAGTTTAAGTTGTGTATAGCATTTTCTGTCAAGCATCTGACCCCTATGACCCTAGTGTAATTACTTGGTGCCTACTAATCATCACAAAATTCACAACCTCATCCCTTTCAAGCAGATTTCCTGTATTTCCTATTTTCTTCCCCTCTATTCAGCACTGGTGAGGCCACAGCTGGAGTACTTGTCCAGTTTTGGGGCCCCCATTACAGAAAGGATGTAGACAAATTGGAGAAAGTCCAGTGGAGGGCAAGGAAGATGGTTAGGGGGCTGGGACATACAACTCATGAGGAGAGGTGGAGGGAACTGGGGTTATTTAGCCTATAGAAAACTGAGGGGATTTAATAGCAAGCTTTAACTACCTGAACAGGGGTTTGAAAGAGGATGGAGTTAGACTGTTCTTAGTGGTGGCAGATGACAGAACAAGGAGCAATGGTCTCAAGTTGCACCAAGGGAAGTTTAGGTTAGATATTAGGAATAACTTTCTTACTAGGAGGGTAGTAAAGCACTGGGACAGGTTACCCAGAAAGGCAGTGAAATCTCCATCCTTGGAGGTTTTTAAGACCCAGCTAGACAAAGCCCTGGTTGAGATGATCTAGTTGGGACTGTCCTGCTTTGAGCAGGGGTTTGGACTAGATGACCTTCTGAGGTCCCTTCCAACCCTAATTTCATATAATTCTATTCTTCTATTTCTGGCACAGGTTTACCCTCTAACTTACCATCCAGCAACCAGCTATACTGCTCCAAGTTTTTCAGCTCTCTCAGCACCAGCTGTGTCATGATGTCATCTGGAATAAGCTGTCCTCGATCAATGTAGGTCTTGGCAACAACACCAACCTCTACACAAAAAGATAGATTCACATTAATGTATCAATATTGTACAGTAGCCCAGAAATCCATATACAATTTGGTTTGATCCAAAGCAACCCAAACTCATAAGAGCTGCAAGTTGACACTGATACTCCTTACAATTTAGTACTTCTCCTTAAAACTACACCCACAGATGATCAATTAGGGCCTGATCCTGCAAACACGTGGAGTAGTTACTGGTAACTAAACGGAGTTCTTTGAGTTACATTATCCACGTGCTCATTCATTGCAAGGCTATGCACACCTCAAGCACTTGGACTTTTGCAACTTTTTGTAGCAGGCACATGTCCTGCCTCTCCATATGCTCTATGCCAATGGCAAAAAGGGTGGTTCCCAACGTACAATTTCCTCTCAGCTACATAATCCCAATATGCTAAGGACTGAATAAGAGGGGGATACAGAACGCTCACATGCAAAACATCTTGAAGAACTCCATTTACTAATAAGCAATACTCTTTTCTCCTTCAAGCAATTGTCCAGATGCAGTCCATCCAGAGACACAGCTCTGTGCACACAGTGCCTAAGAAGACTTCTTTACTACAAGCAGCATCTACTCTGGAAGCCTTCACAAATGGCATTAGGCTTGATGAAGATGCACATGGAATTGCAGGTATCTGCCTTGCATATGCCTGGGCTAGAGACATTTTAATGGGAGGCCAGCAGAATCACTTTGGCTCTGAAGGGGCCATGGTGTGAAGGGAGAGAATGTGCTATAAGCACAACTGGCAATTCCATCTTAGCAGTTTTAAATACCTTGATGATTACCCCTGGTCCACATAAACAGTCTTTATATGGAAACTGGTGTGCCTCTTGACATTTGTTTTATAACAGCAAACCACCATTAGGAATTTCCAGAAAGGTTTAGTCCTACGTAGGCCTTCTGCATTCAGCATAGGAAGTGATGTCTCAGGCCTCACAGAACATGGTGCTGGAAAGAACCCTTCATCAGGTGGATCAAATGAGCAAGATAAAATTCTGGGAGTCTTGGACAGGGATGTCCTTCTGGACCCAAGCCTATGTCTACACTTAAGAGAAGAGGAATTCTTTGGAATTGACAACAAGATTAGTTATCAAGAGAGGATCCATGGCCAGCTAAATCCTGCATTCAGTGGTCAGAGACTGACCCCAGGGATTAGCCCAGGAGATAAAACTGGAGTCTAGCTTCATGATCATTTCTGATCCCGGTCATAAACTACTTATAAAGTAGCACAATTCTCAGAGAGATGGGATTCTCTTGAATGGAAAAACACTTAACACCTCCATCTTTGGTAGGCATAATCCTTTCACCAGGAGGAAGACAATTTGAAACCAGGCACCCTGAATAAGCCATACTGGTGGCTGTGGGAGAGATCTGCCTGACAGGTAGGAAAACACAGAATATCACTTGGATAGAAAAGCCACATGGCACAGGCTCAGATGTCTAAAAAAAAGTTGACAAAGACCAGGAAGAAGTGTGTAATTAAACCAAAGAAAGTAAAAAAAAAACAAAAAAAAAAAAAACACCCCACAAAAGAAAAGGCAACAGACCAAAAAATGCAGTCTGGATCAGACTTGGGAATCCTAGTCTCAAACCAAGATGTTTGAGAGGAATTAAGGAATAGGAAGTATACACTGCCCTTTTTTACCCTTGGCACAGGGCACAAGAGGCAGGGCACATCCACCCTGCATGGGTGCTACTAAGGCAGTAGTCTCTGTACTCTAGTGTGTAAGTGCAACCATTGTAGGGCATGCATACAGATGAGGAGAACATAACCTGTCTACAGTTCCAATGGTGATACTGTGGCTATCTATGTACACAAGTAACTTTACTCATGTACATAATGGCTTGCAGTATCAGTCCCTTAGACTTAAAAAACAGGAAATGTTACTACTGAAGCTTCTTTAGAAAGAGGAAACAGATCATGAACACAAATGTTCTCAGTCCAATGAAACTAAAAATAGCCTAAATCCTTCCCCAGACTATCTGCCATGAAAACTAGGTTCTAACGTCTGATTTTGCTGAACATAATTTAGCATTAAACCATAAATATAGCAGATGTTAAAGTCTTTCCCTTGGAGGGATGCTGTTTTTCCATAAAGATAAGATTAACATTTCAAGTACTCAGCATTTAAGAAAGAACCCTACAGAGGGTGTTTATAAGTGATGCACACATTCATAAGTAGTTTGTGGACACTACCGGTTTTCCCTACACTGCTGGTACTAAAAGGTTACTCTGTACTTCCTTCCACTGGCTTAGATACCTGCCATTTCCCTTTTTAAGAAAACTGCACCATTCTACCACAAATTGCTATGCAAACGTATGTTCGTTAAACAGAAGTTATGGGCTTGATGCACAATCTATCAGGCCAGAGGTTTTTGGACAGAATTTGCATTGATTTTATAACTGGTAGGTTTGCAGAATTGGATATTATTGCTAATTTAGATGCTTTCCTCACCTCGATCTAGTTCTAGGACTCCAGACACAAGAGTGAAGGGGCCTAACATTTCAAATGCCAAAAAGTCAAGATTTCTGGAACCTTCCTGCAAGTTTCTAATTATTGTATTTTTTAAATAATTCAGTATCAAATGCTGATGACCTGCTACTAGGAGGCAAAATACTACAATGGGGGAACATATGTGAATCTGAATAAATACAACAGAAGGCTTCCCATTTAAAAAACAAATATTACTACCTGTTTCCTTAGCAAATCTAAGATGTCTCAAATGATAGTAATACGCTCAAGAACTGGAACAGATAGCTCTCACACTTAAAAAGCAGCAGTAAAAAGAAGAGCAGGAACTTAAAGTCTACCTTAAATTAAGATTATGAGTTTCCATTTACAACTAGACACTGAATAAAAATATTTTAGATATTAGGAAAGAGCACTGGCAACAAAAAAAAAGTCCAGATTTTAAATATCCCCACAATCTAGGAATAGTCAGATTCAAAGTCAAGGTGGCTTAAAAATCAAAACAACCTGGATGCAGACATTTCTTTATGCCTATGTTCCCTCCTATTTCTAGAATATATGTTTGGCCCATTGTTTTCCATAAATCAGGGCTTTCCTCTCACATGGATTACACTAGAAAAAGGATTTCCCTCATCTGTTAATTGTGTTATCGTCTTTTAAATACTAGCAGACTGCTAAGTGTTGTACAGGGGAAAGAAAACTTGAAGACCCTGCCTTCGTGGAATCTGCCATCCTAGTGAGCTAAATAAAGTTACCAGGGTCTGAAGAGCCCCTTTATCATGAAGAGGTGGAAGAAAGTCTCCCCTGACAACCTTGAATAGGACGGCTAGGACCTCAGAGATTACCCTCTGATGGAGGCCCAAAAGCATGGTGGTAGGGGAGAACAGAACAGTAGATCAGTTGATTTACAGCAGTCATCTTCAATCTGACTCGAGTTCCCATGCTACCCAGTCTTCTGTCCCACAGATTGCTGTGGGAACCTAATTTAACTGTTAAATTGCATTAAAACTACACTGGCTCTCCAGTATAACTTTCTCAAAGCAACTGCAGGGCGGGGTCAGTCAGTGGCAACATGATCCCTCAGACATAAGCATTTGGGTTCCTTCAGCATTTATGAGATTATATTTGTTCCACCCACCCACAAGGGATCTCAAGTAACAGCAGGCATTAAATGATCATTTAGCTGAAAGGTCAAAGAGGGCACAGTTAGAAGCTGAGGGTCTATGACTAAAGGCGTTAAAGCCTACCAAACTTTAATGAACATATTTTTATATTGTCAATAACTGTGATGTTTGCTGGACTAATAGTGGCTGTTCACACCACCCTATGCATTGTATGGCCACTTCAAAAGGGTGTATTACTAGGTAATGGTAACTAAAATAAGGCTGGTCTTGAGCATCTAGCCCCCTGGGAAGCGCTCAAACATTTCAGAAAACCAGATATGTTTCTATTTATTCATCTTTCTATTCCTCTCATCTTTATGTCCAGCCCAAATAATTTAGCAAGGCTGTAATTATCAGCATGAAACCAGCTCTCAATGCTGGCATCACACCCTTATTAGGGGGTTGCCTAGCTTGTCCAACTGCAGTAAAGAAATGGAGAGCTTCCCTTCCTTACTGTCATTTCCACCTGGCAGGAATCCTATCTTAAACTAGTTCTGGGAGTAGTAAAAGGGACAAGGGAACCACAGAACCAAATGGCTAAAGAGAAACATTTACCCCTTTTTAAAATGCAGTTTTTAAGTGTGTAATGATTACCTGTTCCACCTGTTTCCCTACTATATAATTGCTGGAGTGCTTGAAAATAAGAGGCATGGGGAATTCTCTTTGCTGAGATCACATATACAAATAGGCCCAAACTGCTGATACTGAAGCCTAGGTTCAAGCACCTATTGCAACTTTAGCTACTGTAGCAATGGAATTTATCACACAGGCCAGTAGGATTGGCTTTATCTAGAAAACACAAATTATACATGTCTAACTATACTGAAACAGTTCATTTAAAAAATGTGGATAGGGAAAAGGAAGAAGCTGTTCTGGTATAAGCATTATGCTGGTACAAGTGTTCGCCCCACAGGTTATACCACTATCTCAATACAGAGGACAAAGAGAAAAAAGAAAAAATCACATGTCTACCTGCACTGTATGTGTACGCAGGATCTGAGCTCTAAACAGAACTGGCCTTCTGATAAGAAAGCAGGACTTGAAACAGCAAGCTCTGGACCTAAGGGCATTGTAATTTTACTTTCCTCACTAATGCATGATGAAATTGATAGCTTTACAGCTTTTGCAACAGGTTAATGAAGGGGTAGGAAACCCCTGGCATGTGTGCCAGAGTGTGGCACAAAGGTATTTTGCTTGGCACTTGCACTTCAGGGCGGACAGCAGGGCAACTGCGAAGGGCCTGATCCTTGTTGTGACAGTGCAGCCCCGGCCCCTCCCCCACCAATTGCCTGGAGGCGCATGTGTACCTGCAGCTAGCAACAAACCAGGCCAGGGCTCCATGGACCCTAGTGCAG